CATCCATTAAACCCAGTTAGATCACATTTAACACTTCAGAGATTTTATTGTAAGATGACTACAATCGCAACAAAAATAAAGCCTTATCATTGAAGAAAATTTGTGCTAGGCGATTAATTTTGTCAATAAAAATTTGAAATTTACTGTGAAAAACATTAAAATCAAACTGAGTTAAGTCAATGCTACATTTTAAGACGAATGCCAAATAAATAAAATAAAATAAAAAGCATCTTATTGCTTGCATGCATCCCTATCAATCAAATCAATATGATCAACTACGAAAGTGATAAATATATCAGGAAAGCAAAAAATAAAGAGCACGTGGAATAACTAATGATACAAATGCAACACAGCGAAGCTGTGAACGCTGAAGAATCAAATGATTAAAAGAAAAAATTCCTAGAAAAACAAAAACTTAAGAAAATTAAAATGCCATCTAAGCAGAATGAATCTTCTCGAGGAATCAGAAGCCCTGGCTCTTTAGAGGGCCGAAGAAAGAATTGGGGGCACTGCTGCAAGCTAAAGAAGATTAAGTGCCCTTTTTAGAATGGTTCCACTGTTGAAAACCTTTTGAGAGAGACCAAAGAAATGAGCCATTTAACTGGCCTGGCCATCCTCCATACAAGTATTTTCCTCCAAGGTCGGAAATCTTTGAACCTTTCTCATTCAGCCTTTCAATCTGCACAAATATGTAGAGAAAACCAAACGAAAAGTCGGTTTATGTTTCAGATTTTCACAAAGTACTACTTCACAAAATCGCAAGAAAATCAAAATTTTAAGAAACTACTTTCGAGTAGGTTTATGTTTCAGATTTTCATAAAGTACTAAGAAACATCGCAAGAAAATCAAAATTTTAAGAAACTACTTTCATGCCAGGTTATATCAACCTCATTATCATTTTTTATTTGAATTAAAATGAAACAAAAAACAACAGCGGGCACGAGTGTGAGTTGTGACAACTCAACAAGATGGCAACCTCATTATCATTTTTTATTTGAATGAAAATGAAACAAAAAACAACGGCACGAGTGTGAGTTGTGACAACTCAACAAGATGGTGAATTTAGTTGCTCCTATTACCACGGTAGCTGTACATATGGTAATCTATCCTGCTAGTCCAATTCATTTTGGATGGCCAGGATTTATTTGTTGAAAATCGGAATGATTTCTAAATGATTTGGTGAAATTAATTCTAAATATCCGAATTAGATTAGACGGCCAGAATGGATTGCCATTGTAATTGAGGTTTCAAATCCATTGGCAGGTGAAAGTCAAAACAAGAGAGGGAAATAGAATCTAGGCACCACAACCAACTTCTATGGAATAGAGTAAAACCAAATGTGAGCATGACTTAAAGGGTGCTGGAAAAAATTTAACATATGAGGACATTAGAGGCAATGTCCATGATGGTCTTATAATGGTCGATGTGTTCTTAATAGTCAAATACACCATCATAAGTCAATGTTTGTGAGTTTGAAACCCTTTGGATAGGATGCCAAGAGACTGCCTCAACTAAGAACAAAGACTCCTAAAGAATGCAATGAGCAAAAAAATAATTCTCGTCCCTAAAACGAAACTCTCCTTGAACCAAACGTTGTAGCTCATTGAATATTGCATGAGAATTATTAGTAAGATGGGGTTGTGCCAAGTTCCCTGTGAATGTTGGAGGGCTACGAGTCAGTTGAATTGCATAAGATGGATGAGTGGTCCTAGCATTATCAAAGAAGTTGGTATATTAGCACGAAGTAAGAATTCCAGGATAGCAAGGAGGGGACCTTATATGGGCATTCTCGATTTAGGCATCCCAAAAATAGGTGGTCGATCTTAGGGTAAGTAAAGCCCATCTTGTTGAGTTGATATTAGATCTCAAGCTTCACGTAAAAGCTAAAGAATGTTATTATTAGACTCCTCTATCCTATGCACTCAAGCCTTCTAAGAGTAAAATCTAAGCACAGTTGCCAACAGGGTAGTATCTACTAGAGAGAGAATAAGCAAAAATAGACATCCCTGGCTCTGAGATTATACACTGAAATGATGGGTATTAATATAGGAGGCTCCATTGTTGTTAGTATTACGTTTGTTAGCTATCAAATGAGTGTTCACAAGTTTTGCAATAGTAAGATTGCATTTCCCATAGACTTGTCAAATTATTGTCTGTTGGATATTATCAACTGCAGAGAAAATTTAAGTCTTAATATAAATATCCAGCACACGAATTAAAAAGAAGATAACAAAACTTTTACATGGAAGACACAAAAATGGTAAAAAAACAAATTTGAGTCAATAAAAGTAATCCATTACGTGATTGAAAGTACCAATGTCTACTCTTCTCCTTAATTGAAGAATATGGGATTATAAAATTATATTAAGATAACTTCCTGGAGAAAATAAACAGACAATCACAATTGTATGAGAGCAATATGATTAAAACAGTCATAGCTAGGTTACAACAATAATATTTATGCTACAACAACAGTAGTTAGACAATAACAAAAGCAGTTAGGCTATCTGCAATCACTAGTAGTCAGAGGTGAAAATTGTTGATGATCATTAACTACAAGCTATCTTCATGAGTGTACACTTAGTTCAGAATGTATCCTATCCTCTCTACTATGAAGAAGGAGGGTCTATTTGTAACTTTTAAGAGTGACATTTTAATAATTTTAGTCTAAATTTCAAAATATTCCATGGAATAGTCAATGTTAATTTTTTTTATTGTAAATCATTCTTTCAGCATTTGTGTCTTAATAATCTTAGAATTAAATAATTTAGGACTCATTAGACTACTCTTATCAAACCACTTAATTTAATTTTAGGCATGTCAAATTTAAATATCATTTGGACCTCCAATTAATAGTCCAAAGCTATTAATTGCACTTCAAATGTTTGATGTGAGCTTACTTGAACTAGGATCAACTAACTTTTATTATATTTGGGTTTATATTATGGAGATGTTTAATTTGACAACAAATTCGTCGAAGTTCGAGCTCAAATGATCATCAATTAAATATTTGAAATTATTATTTATAATGCATAATTATTCATGCCTGAAGATGCAAATTTTTTAGTAACATATCAATTATTAATATTATTCATATTTCATACCCGAGTGATGTGAATGAAATATGTAATGAATTTCTGACCTATTTACCCATGTTTTTACATATTTTAGAATGTTATTCTGCATGAGGAAGGTATTTATGTCTGTCTTGTGCAGGTCCTAGGTTCGAGCCTGTTTGAAAATGAAAAGGGTACAAATCGGAGCAAATAATATGAATAAGTGATCCAGCACGCCCGCGTTGTCTTCACATTGCGCCCGCAATGTGCCAGAGAAAGAATTACACTTCTAGATCACGTAGAATCCGAAGAGAGAATTACATTTCTAGATCACAGTAGCTCAAAAGAAAATTAATATGATATTTGAATTTCCTCTCAAACTATAAAAAACATATACTAAACTATACATATTAGTAATATTTATGATTATAACTGTCATCTAAAATTTAAAATTTTAGTAATATATATATATATATAGAGTTCTAATGTAACTAGGCTACTAACTTATACGAAACTTTACTTTTTAATTTTTTGTACACTTACATTATTATATCCATCTCAGGAGCGCTCTCTAAATTAACTTAACATAGCCCTAGTTGATATGTTACCCATCAACACAATAAAGCGTGCAATAAATCCACTATTCATAGCGATAGAAAAACACTTAACTCGGTGATGGCCAATACATTTTTTATCAGCATAATAAGGAGTGAATCTAAATTCCATTATAATCTGATGTGAAATAAATGTCATCAACACGCATTGGCACATTAGCATTACTAACTAATACAATAAAGGGATGACCTTATTTATCAACATGCAGGTGTAAGCATTCTTATATAGTATTTATTTATATTCTTCATAGCATGCATTTTCTTCTTATGATGATCTATGTCTTCCTATGAATCCCTATGTGTGATTCAATATGAATTTGAATATTATTCTACGTGAGTCTAATATCATGTTATGTGAGATTACATAACAATCAATATGAGGCCAATAATGTCTTATCCAAAAAATATTTTACTGGAAAAAAAGATTAAGTCATCGAAGGATATAAGAGTTGTCATACGATGAAAACATTAACAAAGAAAAAAATTATAATATTGTGATTAAATGCATTATATTTAAAAGCAGAAAAAAACTACTATGAATTGGAAATAAAATTATCGACCTCAGCATCACTTTAATGCTTCAATCTTTGGAGAATTTGCTTGATGTTTTTGATAACTTCCACTCACTTTAACACTAACTCAACCAATAAATCGCAATATCAAATTCTAAGATTCTTGCAAATTATAATTAAGCAATTTATTAAGTTTCTTGACACATTAGTATTATTAATAAATTACAAATTTAATTACCTTTAGTTTTCCTTCTATGCATTGAGATTCATTGGTCACCATTTCTTCTTAAATAATTTTTAGGTTATTTTTACGTAATTAATTTGATGTTTTAACATAACATAAATCTAAAGATTTATTAAGGAATAATCTATAATAAAATTTATTGTTGTTAAGTGCTAGAAAATTCATGATGACCGACTAAAATTTATGGCTCATCTTAACTTGAAAATTTGCACAGATACATATATGGGAAGTGTTGAAAGAGAAAACTCCAAAAGTTTTACAACAAAAATTCAAAAAGGAAAAACCAAAAACTCAATCAAAACATTCCATGATAAATTTTAAATTATAAAACTTCACTCTTCTCTATAAATATGGATGGGATTATATAGATTTAATTGAGTTATAAAGATTAGGCAACAACAGGCATGGAATATTTACCGGTTGCACAACTGTAAGATGCTAATTCGGCTACAACAACCACTGGCAATAATCAATGGTAGTCGATAGTGGTCGCTAACTTTAAACTTTCTTTAGGAGTGTAAAATAGCTCTTAACTTCTTCCTCTTATGTTAAAAAATGGAGTTCCTATTTATAGAAACTTGGCGGGAGTTATTTGATATTTAACAAATATCCCAAAATATTCCAGCAAAAGACTCATATCAATTTCTTTCATAAAAAATCATTCATTTTACATTTTCTTTAAATGACCTTAGAATTATGAAAATTTTGTACTTGTTAGATTTTGCTCATTAAGCAACTCTGTTTACCTATCATCATGCCAAATTTGAAAATAATTTGAATTTATATTTTAGAACTTTCAATCATACTTCATGTGCTTGATCCGAACTCATATGAGCTCTGATTGGATCACTTTTAATGTCTTTTGATTTGTATTATAGAAATGTTCAATTTGGCCATAAAGTTGCTAAAATGAAAGCACAAATGAACATGAATTTAAATTTGGAAGTTATCATATCTACTACAAAAGATCCGTGTTTGATCAATCGGATTATTTTGGTGACATATAATTTGCCCTCTAGTATTGAACGTTAAAACTTGTGTTGTCCAAAAATTATATATTAATTTTCTTAATTTTAGCAAAAACTATAATTTCTAAAAGATTAGGCACAATCACTCTCTGTACGCCAATGCAACCTACCTTCAAGATCGTAAATCAAGAAATATCTCTTCAATCATAATTTTAATCTTTATTAAGTCGAGTTAATGAATTCTTTAAAGTATACAAATTTAGATATAGATGTTTCATTAGATTA